AAAAGTAAAGTCCTTCGAGTAGAACAGAAAAATCAATTATATTATAAAGTATTTTATAAATTGTAGAAATTGACATTAATTTTCTTCTATTTTCAAGGGATTGTACATACATAAAAGTAAATAAAGCGACAATATCTACACAAACGATTAAAAAGCCATATGAAATAAAAACCCTGCATAACTATTTGAAACCTAAACCATTAATCACAACTAAACCAATCTTTCATAAAAACCTAATTTTCTATCAAATCTCAAGCCTTTTATTAACAAATAATCGTTTCATACGAACAGAACAGATTGGAAAACAAAACGCCAGTCGATAATTTTTTTGTAGAGTTTTTTCTTGAGTAACAGCAAGAGAGCACATGTTGTGTGTGCGGCATGTGTGTGGGTAAGTAAGGGCCTAACTAACTACAATTAAGTAACTGGATTTTTTTTCGGGCTGCTATATAAAACGACTTTACCTACAATTAATTCCTGAATAATGATTATTTACTGGGTAACAGCATCTTATTTCGTTCTATACAGGAAGAAAACGCCCGTTTGGTTTACATATAGGTATCATTATGTTAAATTTCTTTCAGCGAATAATTTTGGGGTTGTTTCTAAATTGTTATTAGTGGTGTAGAAATTATTTGCATTTCCTGATACATTTTGAAAATATTAACAAGGAGTTATTTTTTTAAATTTTTTGTTTCTCGAGTCTTCGACAAAAACTGTTATTATTTAATAAATAGTACAAGCAGTGGCATAGCCATAAATTTTTCGTGAGAGGGGTTTCTAAGAACTATATAGGAGGGGGGGTTAACAAATAGTTAATAACGATAAGCGCAAATAAGATGGCGGAAACGGTGACGAAAAGGCCTCTATGGGGGGGGGGGGGGACTGACCTCCAAAACCCCCTGTAGCTGCGCCACTGATTACAAGTATACAATTTTTGTGTAGAGCGCATGATTTGTAAGGTAATATTACAATTTTCATAAGAATATCACACATATGAAGAAGAACTGAGCTGTGAATCAGAGTTAGAAACGCCAAGAAAAGAAAAGACAGCAGTTCGCCAGAGGTGCCAATAATAAACCACATATTAAACAAATTAAACCTCCTCCAGTTATAGTTGACAAACCAGAAAAATAAGACGTGTTGTCAGATTATTTAATACAAAACAAAATACAATATCAAGCCACCACATGGTATCAGAAGGTAATTTCAAAATCAACGTAGATGATTAAAGTATGTATAGATCTCTTACACAAGCGCTGAACAATACTGAAATGGAATGGATTTCATTTGAAAATAAACAATCAAGACCAATAAAGGTAGTTGTGAGAAAAATGCATCAGTTTTGTCAAACAGAGCAAATCAAAGATGACCTAAAAAGTAAAAGGTTTAAAATACTTGAAGTAAGTCAGCTACTGATCAGAAAATATAAAAGACAACCACTATTCACTCTAGCCTTTAACAAAGATGAAGATGTCAAAAAAATGTATGGGATTAAGGAAATACTCTATCTAAGAAGCTTACAGAAACCTCCACTATTACCCTAATGTAAACGATGCCAAAAATATGGGAATACTCAAAACTACTGCAAAAGGAAACCTAGATGTGTCAAATTTGCTGGAAATCACTCAATCCAAGATTGTAAAACACCAATAAGTATAGCACCTAAATGCGTACACTGTAGAGGGCAGCACTCAGCTATTTATAGAAGTTGTGCCACTGTAAAAGTTCTGCAGAGCATAAGAAACATAACTACAAATCAGAAAGCTACAGTCAACCAAGTAAACCAAGGAAATCTAGAGAAAACTGTAAGAAGCAACAAACATTAATGGAGGCTTTTGTACTTCATGTCCAAGTAGCAAGTAATGAAATAAAACTGATAGTAGAGAGCAGTACTGATCTTATAACTTCAATGCTGCAAAAAGTAATGAAACAAATGGATAAACAGGAAAGGCTGGACAGATTAGAAAATAATAATAAACGTTAAAAGAGAAAATGTCTTAGCATTCTAGAATGGACCACAAATGGACTTTTACAACACCAGCAAGAGCTATTAGTGATCTTAGAGACACAACATATGGATATAAGCCTAATAGCAGGAACACATTTTAGAAAAATACACACGTCAAATTAAAATTATTTCAAATCTATAATGTCCATTCATTTAAACAATTCTACCTGAGGTGGAGTTTTTATTATTGTTAAAAATAACATAACACACTATGAACGAGAAAGAAGTAAAACTGAAGAAATACAAGCTGTTAGCATATCTGTTAAAACAAAAAATATGTAGATTATGTATATAGATTAGATGTATTCGAACATATTAAAAAAAAAAAAAACATGTTATTAGGTTGATAACCAAATGCAAGACTTAATGATCTACATCAGCTGTACTCAACCTTTTAATCTTTTGGGCCACATAAATCTGTTTGTTATGCTACACGGGCCACAATATTTTTGGGTGATAACCATAGTTTTTGAAATGTAAATAAAGCACAAAAGAAAAAAAAGGTCCTCATGTTGCTTTAATAAGCTTTGGGACAATTTGTTTCAAAAAAGGACTGTATGTCATTCGTAATAATAGTGTTTGGTGCTGCACAAAAAAGCTTGAAGGGTCGCGCAAAACGGCTTGAAGGGCCGCGCAAAACAGCTTGAAGGGCCGCACAAAATAACTTGGAGGGCCGCAGGTTGAGTATATCTGATCTAGATTCTAGAAGATGAATTGACAACTATGATCATTAAATATTGGAAAAGAACAACTGAATACCTTTTATTAGTATTTTTTAAACTATAGTAAATAACATTTCATGTAGATTATTTTTATATTAAAAATAAGAAGTTATTTATTAGAAGCTGAATCAAATGTACTGTAGACGTTCCATTTTCAGCTGATGGAGAAATGGGATTTGATAAAAACATCCATATTTGAAAATGTCTTCATTTAAATTGCGTATTTTTGTTTCAATACCTTTATTATGGTTTTACTAATATAGTGTGAAAGTTATATGAACTTGCTATGAGCAGTTTTTGATATATAAAATATACAAAATGGAAATGACAGTTATGAACAATTTTAACTCCTTTCCCCACCACAACAGAATTTTTAATACGTTCTTTCTATTGATAATTTTTCCATATCCTTTTATTAAACGAAAACTGAAATTATATAAAGTCTAAAAGGACTAAATTATATTTGTTTATCTTTATAACAATAATCCCAGAATAAAAGTTTATAATATGCAGAGAATTTACAATAAACATCTCCTTACTTAGTCTTAGAAAATTACAAATATTTGTTTATTATAAATATTATACCAAAAAACAATAGCTTTAATTTGTTTGTTATGGCAAATTTTCTGGAAACAACATTTCTAAAAGTATGGTAAAAAGATACTAAATATTTTCCCAATGTCTATAGAAAATACATGCAATATGCGCATTAAAAACTCTACCTCTGTAGTAGTGAGAAAAAATGTTTATTTCTTCATATCTGTTATTTCGAAGTTTACATAATTTTTAGACTTTATTTGTAAACCTAAAATAAGGGTTAAAAGGGAAATTTATAACTTTTGATCATACTGTATATGATTTATAAACTGTAAACATTAATAACAAGAAATAAAAATAGATCAAATTTCATTAAATACAGCAATTAAGGTCTACCAACTTTTTGACTCGCCCTGTATGTACCATAATAATTTTTACATTTTTTTTTAAATATTCATTGTTATTAAAACTTGAAAAAACTCCACCGAAGCCCAGGAGAAATTTTAATATTTATATTTTAATCAGTACTACACTTTATTTTTAAATCTAAAATAAGGGTAAAAAAAAAGGACATTATTAACTTTTGATCATACTGTATATGATTTATAAACTATAAGCATTTTAAAATGGTTTTAAGTCCATTATTAAAAATCGATAAGAAAGAATTCAAATTTTACTAATATAATCTACCAACTTTTTGACTCGCCCTGTATATAGTGTAATTATTCCTAATTTTAATTACTTAAATCGTGGCTATATCGGCTTGACATTAATTTGAAGAATAATCCTATACAAGGGTAAAAATAAAAATTCATTTTAGCAATTTGTGAGTCACCCTGTAGTCAACAAGAATTTACATTTTACTTGATATATTCTTTGATATCAATAAAACATTAATATTGAAAATTGAGGAAACTTCATCGAAGCCCAGGAGAAATTTTAATATTTAAATTTTAAACAGTACTTTTCTTATTTTTTTATTAAAAAACTTTTATCTGATTTAGGATAAAAAAAAAAAAAAATGATACCAATACAATTATAAATTCAAACTAAAAAAATTACAATTATTTCTATCAAAACATCTTAAAACATTAGTTTTAAATAATGTATATAATTTTCATATTTGTTTGAGTTGTAGTCAGGTTGTAAAACATGTATTTTAATAATTACCTATTCATTTGTAAATACTATTAAACAAGTAATTACATTTCCTAACAATCGTATGTTTAAAGTATTATCCTACACTTCAAATTAGGAATAACGATCACTTTTCTTTATGCAACTTTATAGAAATTGTAAGATATCCATTTCTAGGTCAGATGATGGTCCATAATAGCCGAAACATCGTTTGTAATATTAATTAAATTCTGTAATGAGTTACTTTCAAGTTTTTCTCAATAGTGTAGAGTTAAATTATTATCTTTTACTTTATTTTTAAAAAAATTATAGCAAAAATTTATTAATCGTTAATTCAGAACGCATTAGTTTTTATTAAAATTTATAAAAACGACAATATTATTAAGTTCCTAGTGTACAAAACAAAAAATAAACAAATTATATAAAAATTATCAAGCATCAACGATATAGGAATTTTTACTTATACAATATATTTATTGCTTATTTAAATTTTTATATTTCTGCCCGATATTTATTTAAACAAAAATAAAAATTCCACAATCAATGATCGTATCATGCATCACAAAGATATAAAAGATTAAAAAAAAACTTACTTGTAGTTCATTCACTATTTTCTCCGTCATCAGCTTGTCAGGCGAAGCCTGACCACTGCTCAGCTGCTGATGCATGTTGACCATTTGCTGCTGTTGCTGAGCCACCTGCGCTAGAGCGTGCGCGTGTGCGGCTTGCGCGTGCGAATTCGGACTACCCAGATGCGGCGAATGCTGCGACTGTTGATTCTGTTGCTGCTGTTGCTGATTTGGACCGTTCGTTTGCGGTGGTTGCTGTTGAGGATTCATTTGCTGCTGTTGCTGATTCATTTGTTGCGCGTTTTGTTGCTGCGCTTGCTGTTGCGCTTGTTGTTGTTGTTGCTGCTGCTGTGCTTGTTGTTGCGCTTGCTGTTGTTGTACGTTGTGTTGTTGTTGTTGCTGCTGCGCATTAGCTTGTTGTTGCTGCGCATTTGCTTGTTGCTGAGCTTGCTGGTTGTTCTGTTGGTTAGCTTGTTGTAAAGCCAAAGCGCCAGGCGTGATCACGTGTATTTGGCTGCTGTTGCTTTGCTGGCTCGGCGAATGAGCCGGTATTGAATTTGTAGACCCTGGTACGGGTGAATTTTGATTGGAATTAGATAGATTTTGCGGTAGGTTTTGAGGTGGGCCTCTCGCTTGATTCCAAAAGTCGTTGTTCATCTTAAAGACTGGTCTATTATTAACCTCCGCCATTGGTATTTGCAGCGGTGTTAGAGGCGTCGCCCTTAGATCTAGGGCTGTGTTTTCTTGTATCTTGAAGGAATTTTGTAGCCACTTCGCTACAAGGTTTTCATGTTCGACTTTTAGATTACTAAGTATATTCTGTTCCTCCGTTGTGAAAATGTTGATGGATTATGTGGAACTGTTGGTAAAAAATGCCGTTTTAAAACGGCTGACTAATCGTCGTTGATATTTGTACTGTTTTACTTTTTGTAATGATTGCTCTCAGCGGTTACTTGATACAGGACCGACCGAGATATGTGTGTAGCTAGAAGGGTGAATATCTTCTGTCTTTCTCGCTCTTTCGTTTTTTTTTACTAGCAGATGTTATGGTTGACCCTTCGTAGGTTACTATAATTGTAGATAGATCTGAAAAGAAAAAACAATACAAACGTAAGTTGGATTATATTTAAATTATCAGTATTAAAACTACAGTGCGTTCATTTGATATTCGAAATGTTTGCATGCATAGGCGGAACGTGTATTTGAAGTTTTGAAGGATAAATATTTCGAAAAAATAACAAATGCGACTCATAACGTTAAATAATTAAAATCCAATTGTGGATTAGCTTTATTTTGATAGGTTATGTTTCTCTATGTGAAGATTGTAACACATTCTAATAATCTGTCCATTTTATCGACCTTCGCAAAAAAAAACATTTAATAATAATATTAATAATAATAATGTTTATTCATAAAAGAAATACAATAAAAATACAATAATACTGACATTTTGAACAAAATAATTTCATGAAATTGCTATGAAAGTTAATGGTTTATGAGAAAAAAAAGTAACATTTCTGAATTAAATTAAGAATTAAACAAAAATTGTGAATTCAAAAAAAAAATCAAATATAAAGAATAGTCAATTTTGAACATATTCGTTTTTATATGATCTAAAACTCACAATTTTTTTTTTTTTTCAAAACATTAAATTGTTTTGAACAAAATTGACAATGATCATTTAATTATTTAAAACGCTGTATATAATTTGTTCATTATACTTTTTATTTTTTATTACTAACACAAATATCTGACAGTTTGTAAAATAAAATAATTTAAAAAATGTTATTAAATGAATCAAATCTGTAAGTTTACTTCAAGAAAAAATTATTTTAAACATTATAAGAGGGCTTTTTTATAAAAATTTGTATGTATATTCTTTGTATTTTATTATTTTATATTTTTTATAGGTTTTAGGGTTATTATTATTTTAATTAAAGTCGTTTATTATTATGTATCTTTAAAATAAAGAATAGGAAGTTTTGGAAGCATATATTTTTATTTCATCTATCAAAAATTACTATTTTTCAATTCAAAAACCTTTTGTATCATATTTGTAATGATGATAATTATTTACATTTACGATATATAATTTCTACATTACTACTAATATTTCCAAGAAAATATTTCTTATAGTTCTTATAATAATATCATTGAAAAAAATTCTAAAATATAATAATCATGATATTTATTTTAATCATATTTAACAAAATAAGTAAAAAATAAGTTTTAAATTAAAGGATATGAGAACAATGAGTAAAACTCGAACAATGTGACACAGTTTTCGAGGTGTTTTTTATTTTATTTTTAAAATGGTTACATTTGAGTATGGAAATATATTTTTTTAGAAAAATTAAGTTACTTAAAACTTATAATTTTGCAGTGATTGCATTTTATTTAAAACTGATGGTTTATAATTTTAAATTTTTATTATTATTAGTTTTTGTAAATAGATCCTTCAACAGGGGTGGTTTTTTCATTGGTTCATTTGTGCAGTGAACACCCAGCTAAATTTCATAAAAACACATTTTAAAATTATATAAATAACATAAAAATATAAATTTAATTTTAATATTTTTATTTTCATACGTGTTAATCTATATTTTTTGGTACATCATTGTTCTCTGGCTGATCGCATCTCTGTGACACAGTATACATAAGTATCCTGTGTCTGTGGCGCATTATGATGAGTGAGCCTAACACGAGTGAGACGATATGGTAAATGCATATAGCTAAAAAGAGAAGAAAACACGCCAACAGATTCTTCAAACTGTCAAAGAACACATTAATTGGTGCGCCGCTCACAAACAAGGTTGCCAAACCAGTGTTGCCAGTCTATTACAAATCACAATTGTACTAGATGTAGTACATTCTGAGTGTTCACTTGTAAAATATATATATTGTGTTTCTTGTTTGGGTTCGTTATCAATAAATAAACTTGATAAAGATAAAGAGACAAATGATTGTTCACTTTAAAAGTCTGAATCGGAAAAATGGATCAAACCGTTAATTTAATATACTCGATGAGACATTTTACCTAAGAAATGGTTTATACATTTAAATAGTTTGCCTATATAAAGTTATGTTTGCCTGCAATTATCAATCGTATTACCCTCTAACCAAGATTGTTTGTTGCATACAAACCAGAAATCTTTTATTTTAATGACATTTTTTTATTGCCTTGTTTGTATAATTTAGTATTTTCAAAAATATTAGATGTTATGGTAATTTGAATCACTACAGGTATTAAATAAAAATAAGGCTATTGGTAAATTAGTTTACAGTTGGTAATAAATAATGTCTCGAAAAAAGTCTCGAAATAAGTATCAAACATAAATTGTGATTTTAATTAGGCACTTAACAAGTCACATCCCACATATCTACATGCTCTGGCTAATCAACTCTATAAGTACATATCAAAATATTAATATACTATCTACAATTAAACAATAATTTGAAAATACAGATGAAGCCGATTTACCTATTATTCTATTATTTATTAAAACACATTATTTTTAAGTAAACTTGGACATGCAAAAGCAGCCATGATTGTAGGACATTAGTGAGAGCAAGAATACTTTGGAATGTGCTGTGAAATACACTTAGAAAGGGTCATATGGAGAATTAAGTGTAATAAGATATTACGATATGTATCTCACTAGTTTAGTTCACAGATTTCTGTGTTTTGTGTTCATTATGTGCTGCTATTTCAAACTTTTAGTATCCTTTGATAAAAGAAGTTGAATATTAATGTTGACCTTTTTAAATTGTTTATTTTACCTCATACATTTTTTTTTTCTACTTTTCATACAGTATTGTGTGAATAGTATTCTAGATTTACTTTGTCTGTCTGTCCGATGTCACGTTTTTTGTCTGCACGATAAGTCAAAAACGAAAAATGATATCAAATAACAAATTTTATTAAAAATAGGGGGTTAAGATGGGTTGAAATAAAAAAAAAATCTTAAATTAATAACGAAAAGAGATATCAAAATGAAATTTTTAGTAAAAATAAAGCTTTATAAGAAGATACAGCCTATTGATACTGAAAAAAATATAAATATATTGGGGAGTTAAGGGGGGTTAAAATATAAAAAAAAATCCTAACTGAAAAACAAAAAATGATATAAACTTGAAATTTTTAGCAAACATCAATCTCTAAAAGGAGAAGAAGCCCTTTAATTATAAAAAAAATCTGATTAAATATGGGGGATTTAAAGGGGGTTAAAATAAAAAAATAAAAAATCAAAATTAAAAAGCGATATCAACATGAAATTTTTATTAAAAATCAATCTCTATAAGAAGTTGAGAAAATGGGGGTTAAGAGGCTCTGTTAAACTGCGAAGAGTATCATTTAGAATGCCAGGCATTATATATCTTTATTCTAGTTTGTGTCTGTGAAATATTATGTATGGGACTGATCTTATAAAATACACATTTTAAACATGACATCTGCGACAAATTGTGAAAATGGTTAAACTTACAATAAAAACTAAAAAATTGTAGGTAAAGTTTCATATAAAATTTTTTACACAAAAATCAATATCAAGCTTTCTACATAACCTAATATATATTTAAAAATAATCTCAAATTATGAAGAAAAGTCAGTTTACTAACTAATAATGTTTATAGACGGTTTTTAACGTATTAAAAACAAAACAAATATAATAACTAAAATATTCATTTATTAATAGTTGTAGTACTTGAAAACAGTATGATGTTGATAATAATAACTACACTTAATACAAACTGAAATAATAAAAAAAAAACAGCGATATTGATTCTTGTACAAAGTTTTGATTCGAACTTACAAATGATAAAATTATTGGAAAAAGTGAACACCCATTTTAAATTACCACAAGCCGCCACTGCACAAGAATAACCGATTTTAACGTATGTTTAATTTCAATAACTAAAAAATATACTGACAATTAATTTGACAGAATTGTCACTTATTTAAAATTTTAAAAATAATAGCAGTTGATCAAAATATGAACGGTGATTGGCGGATTTCATTTTTTTGCAAAGTTCTTACTATCTAGAATGGATATGAAATATATCCGTTCAGTTGAAGGCAATAGCATACTTTTTCGTGAAGAACATGATTGAACATTTTTTAAGTAATAATAAGGTTATTCTTTTGAACAGATTTTAAAAAACAAAATAAGAATTATGTTTTTCAAAACTTCAAATATAAAGTGACTTCTTTTTTAAATAATATTTAAAAATAATGTCATTTAAACTAATTTAAATTTAGTTTATAACAGAGTTGCTAAACTTCTTGTATCAAACAAAGTTGTTAAGCAATTTGGTTTATATTTTAATATTATTAATTTATTCAAATAACTAATAAATTTATCTAAAAACAATTACAACGATATTCCTTATAATCATATTTTCAAAATTCAACAAGAATTATGTTATTTAAAATTCACAATTTTACAATGATTTAATTTTTTTTAAATTGATGTCATTTGATGTTTTTTTAAGTAATTTTGATCTAGTTTAAATTAAAATTAAAAACAATGTCATTTTTTTAACTGATTTCAATTATTAAACAAGAATTGTGTTATTTCAAAAATTATAATTTTGTAATAATATTTAAAATTAATATCATTTGAATCAATTTATTTAAAAAAGTTGTTAAATCTTCTTTAAATTTCTTTGTTTTTTTTTCCACCAAAATCTTAAAAATTAATTTCTACCGAGATTTAAATTTAAGAATATAAGTGGAAGATCCTTGGATGGGTACTCACATATTTTGATTGTTTGTAAAAAATATTGCACTTGCCCTCAACACCTGACTATTTTATCACACCTCGAAAACTTCGCGCCAAAAATTTTGAATCAAAAAAAAGTACCCGTCGCGTAAAAATCACCGAAATACGTTACCAACTTTGATACGAAAAAAAAACCGGATAGATATAAAGTGATTGGATAATTTTTTTTTTCTAAGTCGTTCAACCGGTTAGGCACTACGCGTTTAAATATGCGAGCGTCGCGATGCGTCCTTGCTATAAGAAAGACGGCAGATAACTAAGAAACGCGTCGCCGTCTCCAAAAGACGTCCAGCGTCTAAAAGCGAC